CAGAATCCCCTCCCTCGACCTGCTGGCCACACTTCTCTGGATACAGCCCAGGATACAGTTGGCTTTCTGGGCTGCCAGCGCACACTGCCAGCTCATGTTCAGCTTTTCGCCCACCACTGCCCCCAAGTCTTGCTCCTCAGGGCTGCTCCATCAGAGAGCTTAGAGTCCAATGGAAAGGCAAGTATGTAACTGAGTATGTACTGAGTAACTGAGAGTTACTCAGTAATCAGACCATGGAAAAACACATATCTGTCTAGTGTGGGACAAGCTACAGTTCCCCACAGGAGTAGCACTTGCTGCCGGAATGGAGTGTTTACCTTCCGTCTTTAAGCAAACATCTCTGAGTTTGCAGGAGGATTGCCCTCTACACGAGGAGCTGCTACCACTGCGCAATCACAAGAGGCTTCTTTACAGCTCCTGATTGTTGTCAACATAGTTTTTAAACATTTTATATATTAAAATTACAGTTGGAAAAAATACTAAGTGAAAAGAAAATACCTTTTTTAATATTATTTATACTGTATTCTCTTCCTGGTTTTGAAGTTATCTAGCTATCCCTGGAGCAAGTTTAATACAAAAGAATACAAAGATCATAAGTGACTACTTCTGCTGTAGCAAGCTAAGTGACATCCCTTGTTTCAGCAACACCGTCTTCTTTGCTCACACACAGAATTTCTTTTCCTCTTGTGAGGCTCATGCTTTTTGGGATAATATTTCGCAGCACTTACCTTTATCACATGTGCCATTAATTGCTTTTCTTTTACATTTTATCTGAAAATATATAGGTCTGATTGTGCAAGCTAATACATTTTAAGACCATTCATCTAACTTTTTTTTTTTGTTTTTAGTGTAAGCGGTTTATATTTGAGACAAACCAGCTATATACAAAACACCAATGAGAGTCACTGAAAAACATGCATGGCTATTTTCTGTATACCCTATTCATCAGAAGAGCCCACAGCCAGTGTTTGGTGTTCTCTTCTCTTACCAGCTAATTGATGTGAAAACAGAGTCTCTACTGGCAATTTTACTATTTCAGGCTGTATTCCACACTGAAATTGCAGCCATGTGAGACAGTTCCGCAGACTATCACGAGTCTGCTTTATTTAGCAATTGAATTTGTGTCGAGTACTGTAATTTACTGTAATTTTTCTTGCACGTGTCAGCATTTGGAAGAGCCCTTTGAATCCGCAGTTCTGACACTAGTGGGCTCCCAGTATTTACCTTCTTCCCATCAGCAAGCAACAGGAAGAGTGAGTCATCAAAGAGGTGGAATATTTTCCCTTTAAAAGCAAGTATTTTTTTTATCTGTAGATTTTGCATATTGCCTGCTGCCAAATTGGGCAAGCTGCTCTTTTCTCTGTAACCCCTCGCTATGCCTTCCCACCACCTACTCCACAACATCCTGGAGGTGGTGTAAGCAAGGAAATTGACTTTGCCAAAAATTTTCCTCATGATTTACATCTCAGAGAAGTGCTCATCACCAAGTCAGGAATATAATAGTGGTAGCGTAAGGGGGGTAGCAGGAACACGTGGAAAGAATAAGACAAGGAGTACAGTGTCCTCCTCCTCAGTGGCATTAGACTGGCTCAGCCATGTCCTAAAACTGCACTCTTAATTCCCTGGTAAAATCAAATGCAAGAAAGAAGCAGTAGGTGAGGTTCAGGGTTTACCTATCCTAGTGTCAAATTCTCCAGGATGAAGAATCTTTAGCATGAAGAATTTTATAAAGATTGGAGGTAAACTTCAGCATCACTTACATTTTTTAAGGATTACCTTTACTTTTCTTGCTATATTAGACTATTCCTCTGTCCATTTAATTCTGCAGACTACTATATTTAGTATTTACTTTGCAGTGGTTTTATCATGATAAATGGAACAAGTGCAGGCTACCCATCTAAATACCATTACTATAGGTTTTTTAATTAGATTTTTTATGCTAATAAGGAATAAAATAGATGGATCAAGAAACTCATCTGAGCCACAAAGAGATCTGGGTTTTAGCAGTGAGGATGGCTGATCACTGCTTAAATTTTTATGTGGGAATTAAGTGTCTGATTCACAGCCATCACAGAGCAGGCCTTGTCAGAAAAGGCCTCCCATTATTCTGAAACCCTGATTTTTTGTTACGTGGAAGTTTATGAAGAAGTTGCAGAACTTTCTAGCACATACAGGGTTTCTCACAGTAAAAACAAAAATAAACAGTGGGTCTGCCCTGCTTAAGAACACACAAAATTACATCAAAAAAAGTCGTCTTCTTTCTCTGCTCTCTGAGAACAAATCCTGAGAATTCCAGCTTGAACCACAAATCAACGTTTAAAGAGAGTTCCACAGGAATACTTTGCTACTCCCAGACAAAGTGGCATTTTCCTTGAAACCTACACAGGGATTGTGTAGGTAAAGCTAAAAGACACCAAATACCTGAGTTTATTCTTTTAATGCAGATCCCTATCCTTCTGTCTCCTTCACATGGGAGAATGTATCACTCATCTTTAGGGCACCAAAATCATGGATCGTTGGAGACATGCTACATTAGGAAAGGCTCAAAATAAGTTTTTCTATGCAGATGTCTCTAGAGGCCTACAGCTCTTTGCAAATATCACATACTGTATTTTAAGGTAGATGCCATTTTAGTGAGGCTTCCTGAAAGTAAAACATGCCTGAAGTTGATGACAGAAAGAAAATAGTTAAAGTTCTTTAGGGTTTTATAACTAATTGGCTCTTATCTGATAGTCTTTTTTGCAGCAAATTAACACATTAGGATAAAGCCTAGCAAAAATGTGCTCGTCTTTTGCTGTCAGTACTTGCCAATGGGGCTGTTAATGGGGAGAAAGATCAAATTTCCAAAATAACTGCCACTTAAGGGGAGATATATCTTCCAAAGAAGAGAATAGTGTTGGTTGGATTGTGTCTGATGAAGAAGAGGAATGGATGGTCAGCTTTGAACTCATAAGAAACTGGGCTACACAGAGGCACTGGAAAAAGCCCCATGGCACCAACTGCTTCAGTGCCCTCCTCACTGACTTCCACGAAGGACTTCTGGATGGCCTTGGACACAACCAAACCATCTTTCCTAGAGATTCCCGACAGATCAGCTTTTCCCCAGTCAAAAACATTCATCAAGCCCATCTCCTGGAGGGTTTTGTTGAGAAGATAACTTTCCTCCATCTTGAACTGCGGCAGGTACACCTTCACTTTCAAATGTTGCATCCTGGCCGAGCTGGTCCATCCTGCTAGTTTTTCATATGTGAGGGTGCATTCAAGCTGTAAGACGGTATCGATAATAATGATAATGAACAAAAAGAAAAGATAATAAGGTTCAGTTTTTCCCACTTGTCTCCTGACCACACTGGAGCAAATGTTAAAATATTGCTCTGTTTGCAGCCCTTATGCACGCTACTACAGAGAAAAGGAAGCGTTACCTGTTCTAGGCCAGTAAAGTCCTCACAGACAACTTCAGGAAGAAGAATGAACATGCTCAGTTCATTATTAAAGTACGGGAGCTCTATCACTTTCATTTTCAGTTCCTCTATGATGGCCATGTTAAAATAACCTTCTTGAAACATCATCTGCACTGTCCTCTTCTCATTCTGGAATGCATGAAACATTAAACAGAATATACAGAGATTATCACCCTGGTTTTAGTCAGCTTCAGTATTAGAGTTCAGTCCAGACACATTTACAGGGGTCATGGGTTTAATGTACCTGTAGCATTATGCGTTCCTCTCTCTTAACTGTAGCTCCAATGAAGTTATCTATTTTAGAGGCATAAAACCTATTTTTCCATTTCTACTTGTTCTCACAAACCCCGCATTATGTCCTTTTTTCTGGAATGTCAGATGAGGACACCGCTGCATCTGATGCAACCATGAATCTAAATTCTTCATGAATAATGTATGCGTTCACCTGACATATTTTCTCATTAGCTCATGTTTTCCTGAAAACAAACACTGTTCTGTCAGTAAATGGTATCAGAGGAACAGAATCCTCAAGTTCAGTCCCAAAGCAGACTGTGTTTGAAAAAGCATCCTTAGTTGCAAAATCCCCAACAAAGTTCAAGCCTGTGCTCAGTGATTTAGACCCAACCAGGAGCTCAGCTGCACGAGACCCACTTCTGATGCGAACTGATAGAAACAGTTACATATTTGGTTATCAAACTGGGGAGAAGATGTAGCTTTCTATTGTTCCAACTGAAGACCAGCGTTTTCTCATGGGATGACATAGAGGAGGAAAGCTCCCATCTGTTGTTACAGGAGACAGACATCTGATTTCCATCTCCCACCTGTTCCAGTTCCTGCCCATACTGTACCTTGTTCAGTTGGAAATATGCTTCCTTAGTGTCTTCTTTCTTAAATTCTACTGCCCACTTTCCTTTAAAATATATAGCATTGACCAGGACAAGTACAGTAGAGGGATCAATAAACCCAGCAGCAAATAGGTCTTTGATTTTACCTTTAAAAATAATAAATTGAAAAGAATTATTCCTTTGTTCGGGCAATCAGCTGCATTTGACTATTAATAATTATTTCTGTAAATTTGAGAAGTAGTATAATGCTGTAAGACAAATAACAAAAAGTTTATTACAGCTTTTTAAGCCAGGAACTCAAGGCATTTTTGCGATTCTTCCTTCGTTTATTTCCTAGTGAGCAAAAAAGTGCATTAAGTGTTTAATATATAAAAATCTTGCTACCTTTGGAAAAAGGAAAGGTGGAAGCTGAAGTTCAGACATGATATTCCTAACTGGTTCAGTTGAAATTCAAGCAACCTGCACATTTTTTTCTTTACCTTTTGTCTCATTTTCCACCCAGAAGTTAATCTTCTCTCTGGCTTCTTCTTCAGTGTATTTAAAATCGACTGGTTCCAGTTCTGCTCGATAGAATTTCTTTGTGGAATCCAAGTATTGCTGGAAGGTACAAATGACAGAAGTTTATCACAATGTGATGTTTTTTATAAGATGGATAATTTCATGGCTTCAAGATAATTCCATGTAGTAGACCAGCAAGAAGGGAATGAATAAAAAAGGCATATATTAAAAATTCCTTGAAATAACCCAAGCATTCAGTTTTTAGAGAGAAACGATTTATAAAAAACATATTTGGAAATATATTTTTCTGTATTTTCAAGCTGTACCAAGCAGCAGAAATGTCTCAGCACAGGAAACAACATCTAAGAACAAAACCTGGCCTTTCTTTAAGCTTATGTATCATTGCTATGTTGCCTGTCTTCCCCCAACCACCAAATGAAGAAGGTTACCTTATTTCGAACAAATAACAGGGATCAGAGAGTCCCATATTTGCAGACTGAAGGAAAGGTGGAAGAGTGAGTACAATAATTCTATTACTGGGTGAGGAAAACTGTCTTCTGCTGGTCACAGAGCTTTGTTCCCTGGATAGAAATGGCGCAGCAAGTGCCAGCTCTGTTAGACACTGGGGTATATTGACAGTGATTAAAGCTAGCACATTTCTGGAATGCCCAGAGCGAGCTGTTACCGTGGATCTGTTCCTTTATATAAATGCTTTCAAGTCGCAGATTCACAGTGCTCTGCTGTTCCCCGTGTCTAACCACGGAGCCATTGGGATGGAAAGGCTTCCTGACAGCAAGAGCTGTGGGGTGCAGTCATTTGGCAGCACACCCTGACCGTGCCATTGAGTTTCATTTCCCTTTGTTCTTTATGATGGAAGAAATGCTGCTGAGCTTGTAACTCCCAATTCAGATGGACACCACAGCCACTTACCTGGAAGAACGGATAAGTAATTTCTCCAAAGAGCCTGTTGGCAATGGTGAGAGAGCAGCCTGGTCTGGGTTCACTGACCGCAGCCAGCAGGGCCTGGAACTGGGAATGGACTCCTTCAGCTTCTTCACACTTCAAATGGGAAAGCAGAAGCTTCATGGTAGACTTGAGCTTTCCTATGCAAAGCTGGACCCAAGGGGGAATTGCAATCTCTCTCTGTATGAGGAGCCTGACTCCACCCAGTTGATGTGAGCATTGGAATAAATGCATCGAGACACCACCTCCAAATCCTCCAGTACCAGAATTGCAAAATGATTTCCCTTCAGGCCTGCACTACCCCACCTCCAAATCCCACTGTAACCAGCAGTGATGTCTCTGTGCATGCTGAGCAATAATATGCTGGCTCAGAGCCTGGGAGGGAGGAACAAGCTCCGAGGTGTGTTTGGCATGCCCAGTAGCCCTTAAATTGCAGGAGGCAACTTAAACACTTACCATGTTTTTAGATTGGTACTGACATTTTGGTTAGAAACCTGTCATAACAAGGCTTTGCTGTTGAAATGTGTGATCTTGCAAGGCCCCTTAAATAACTAATAAAAGAACAGTAATAAGCAGGTTTGCAAATCTAGACAGAGGCTGCTCAGCCCTGACGTGCTTTCTGATTAACTGATGGTTTGCAAGGGCTGACAAACCGGCACCTGTTACTTCATCCTAGAGCTGCAAGGGTGTCTTACCTTCTCAGGAGCGTATCTATTTCCCTGGCTTGTACTGCTCAAAACTTCACTGAAATGAAATACCTGCAATGTAAATGTTGGGTGAATGCAGCTGAGTGACACTGAAACAGCGCATTGCAAGCCTATCCCAAAACGCAGCCAGACACACTCAATGGGGAAAGTTGTGTTTGTCCTTTATCATCAGAACAAGAAGTTTTTGTAGAGGGTGAGCTTATGAAATCATTGAAATATTTCCTCTTAAGAAAGGTGACTTTCAATGTCCAGAGAAGGCAGAAGGCTGTGTTAAAGGGAGACACTACTTCTGAGCCCTGAAGAGTGGAGGGATACCTCCAAAACACTTTCTCTAGCACTGATCTAATCATTGAATGGTCAATTACTCTAATAATGTTTAGTCTGAAAACGCTTGGTATTAGGAATATCATAAGAGAGGGTGTTTTTAAAGGTCTGTGTGCATCACTCCTTTGGATGCTTAGGGACAATATCAGATGGTACTGTCAGCAGCCTCTTGGCTCATATCTTGCCACCGTCCCCTTCTCAGAGCAAAGGAAACCCACCTTCTCTATCTGCTTGAGTGTGCTCCCCCTGGCTCCAAGGACAACCATCCCAAAGGCAGCTGAGAGACTTAGTGGGGAGAAGAAGATGTTTTCATTTCTTTTTCTTTTGCTCAGCTCTCTGAAAAAGTCAAGACAGAACTTGGCATTGGCCGCGCTGAGAGAGCACATTGTGGCACTGCAGTTGCCTGCAACAAGGAAAACAAAGTTTTAGGCTTCTCATCCTTACACCTGCTAAGCTGAGATGCCTTGGTAGAGCACGGGAGAGTTTTCTGCAGCAGCACGGCTGAATTGTTCAGCACTTTATGGAAGGTTTCTGATTCGTCACATCTGGGATTTCACAGTGAACTTCAGATTGAAACCACTCATCTGAAAGCCATCACCCTGAGTGTCAGGAGAATCACATTTTCAGAAACAGTATTCTGAGTTCAGCTGTTTCGCCGGCTTAGGCAATAGCTATGGCTTTGTAACTTGGACCTAACCCTGTCCTAACCACAGTGCCAGCTCACCTTAGGTCCTGGTCTTTCTTGCCTCGAGACCTCTGGGCATAGCGCTTATTAATTACACCCCTTGATCATACCTCACTTGGTGTGTCTCTAAAAACTTTGTGTATATTAATCAGCTGTGCCTCACATACTGAAGACTGAACTTCTGATGGGCTCACGTAGCAAGATTTTCAAGATTTGCAGCTTTAACACTTTTCTCAGATACCATATTTTGGTTATGATCACAATGATTGTAACAGATGATCTTGAACGTTCTGCAAAACTCTTCACATCTTCCACCTAGTTCCTTCCTTATGAAAGCCTTTTCCCAGTGTCTTCATCCAGTAAAGCGATGTAGAGGCATCTGATCCCTTAGAAAGTTCAGTATTTTAAGGTTTCCAGCTATTCTAAGTCCCTTTTCTTTTGATTCCTACTGAGTCTGAATAACCTTCTCCCCACATGTGAGACACCTTTCCCCCATTACACAAGAAGAATTAAATTATGCATATAAATACCTAAAATACAGAATGACATAGAAAGATTATGTTCTCATAAATTACCAACCTGGATCATTCAGAAGTGGGAAAAGGTTTGGGTTTAATCTTCTTTAGAAGCACACCTGGTAAAGCCATTGTACAAGTTAATCACATCTTCATCAACATTTTCATGTAATCCAAAACATTGCACAGCATCTTGAAAATATTATCACTTCCTCAAAATTTGGCATGTACAGCATATATGTGCTGAGCAGATAGGTACCTCACTAATGCACATATCGATCTTTAGACATTTCATGTTTATGTCATCTGTAAAGGTTAGAATTAAAGGTCAGGGAGATACTAACCTTCTCCTCAGGACTGATGGTGTCAACTGGGCTGCTGAGCTTGATGACAGGGCTACTGGAGCAATGGGATATAAAGTCATTGCCACTCCCAGTGGCAGCATAATTTTCATTCATGATGAATCACATGCCTGTCTGTTGCAAGCAGTTAGTATAATTAGGGGACCTTTTGTGGAATCTTGAATTTTTCCTTATCCCCAGGAATTTAGAAAGAAGTCAGAATTGCAAATGCATACTGAGATTTTTAAAAAAAAAAAAAAAATCCAGGCAATTATAAAAAAGAGGAGTTTTCAGCAGTTTTACCTGTAAAAAAATAAATGCTACAAAATTTGATGTGTGTTGCTGTCAGAATTAGCACTACCAAATGCAAACTCATATGCTTTTGTAATAGAAATTAATTATTACAGCCTCTACCGGTGGCACAGTAGCAGAAGAAAGAAAAATGTACAATATAAGAGAACCCATTTGGCCAATTGTGACATGAGTCAGTGGTTCCAGAGGGGAGGTAGGGCAATTCCCTTTTCCTGCTCCAGTTGTGTGCTGCTCAATACTTCTTTCTTAAAGATCCCTTCCAGGGAGTTTTCCCTGCCTGTTCTGGTAGGGGACTTTTTACAAGCTTTGAGGGGACTTTTTACAAGGGCCTGTAGTGACAGGACAGGGGGTAACAGGTTTAAATTGAAAGCAAGGAGGTTTAGATTAGATATCAGGAAGAAATCCTTCACGGAGAGGGTGGTGAGGCACTGGAACAGGTTGCCCAGAGAAGCTGTGGATGCCCCATCCCTGGCTGTCTTCAAGGCCAGGCTGGATGAGGCTTTGAGCAACCTGGTCTAGTGGAAGGTGTCCCTGCCCATGGCAGGGGGGTTGGAACTAGATGGTCTTTAAGGTCCCTTCCAACCCAAACCATTCTGTGATGCTATGATTCTCTTCTTCATCTGGAAATTCTGTCCTTAGAGGAGAATAGGGATTTAGCCATCTCTTCCAGAGTTTGTTGCATATCCAACCTCTTGGACAAACAGTATCTTGCTTTTGATTGCATGACACCCTAGAAGAGCATGCACAGTACCCACACAACACGACGGTGCCGAGCGGGTACACTGGGTACGCTACACTCACAACACGACCGTGCTGAGCGGGTACATTGGGTACGCTGCCACTGAGCACTCTGCAGTTGTTGCAGTGACGCGGCACATGTTGTGTGCCTTCATATCAACCTCACAGCATGTGCAGACTAAGCCTGCTACACCTGGGGTGCTACACTAACATTGCAGTTAGGGGCCCCCATGCATCATCTGCACTTCCTTAGGTTTTCCTGTTGGAAATATGAGAGCCCTGTTCCTCTCCCGGGCATTCAAATGATATTTCTCCTGTAAGCAGGGAAGGTATTTGTGGCACAAAGGGCAAAACATAGAGAAGCTATACCTGTCCACATAGTCTTCTTTCAAAACCTTGCATTCTGCAGGTGTGTTTACAGGGAAGCTGGGCGAGTTTTGTCCAGATAGGCTTTCCACAGGCCACTGATGGGCCAGCTAAGTTTAGCCCAGGACTTCTCATTACTCCTCATTTTTATCAGTGACTGATGAAGTCTGTTCCTTGCCTTATATTGCTTCAGCAAGGCATAGGGAGCAGGGTCAGAGCAACCTAATAGTAAGAAGTAGTATGCTTTTGGGGCTATTTTGCTGGAAAAAAAAAATTCTTTCTTCACATTGAGGCACTGGAACATGTTTCCCAGAGAAGCTGTGGATGCCCCATCCCTGGATGTCTTCAAGGCCAGGCTGGATGAGGCTTTGAGCAACTTGGTCTAGTGGAAGGTGTCCCTGCCCATGGCAAGGGGGTTGGAACTAGGTGATCTTTAAGGTCCCTTCCAACCCAAACCATTCTGTGATTCTGTGATTTAGGTTGATATGGTGTGTGGGTGAGCAAGTATTTGCATGACTTATAACACTGTTTTGTAAGAAGTACTTTGTTATCACTACTAACATATACTTACATGTCAACCCAATCACATAATAGGCTTCTCTGGTATTTAGGAAGCTCTGAAGGCAGTTTCACATCAGTCATAAGATACTCATGAGTTTGTTTCTTTTCTGATTTGAATTTTCTCATATCTTTCCTTGGAGAAAATAGAAATTAAAAATGTGCTGTTCTTTCAAGCCTTGAGAAGAGGGTTAGACCTGCACAGATTCTGCCTGAAGGGAAGAAAGCTGTGGAGTCTAGTGTTGCTTGCTTAATGCTGGGGCAAGAAAACTTCCCAAAAAAGTCATTGTTTCACTTTCCTGGATCCTGCTGAGGAAGTGTCTGCTCTCCACAAAGCCACTTCAAAACCCAGCTGCTGAGCCTGCTCCTCATCTTGCTGCCTAAAGGAAACTGCCGAGCAGAGCCGGGCGGATGCGTTTCCCTTTCCTGCAGTGTGGGGCTTTTCTCTGCATTCTTAGTTTCAGCACTAGGCATAGCACAGTTGGAGGAAAAATGTTGTGGAAAGTAACAGCAGAAAGTGTGCAATTTGGAGCAGCAAGATGCAACAACTCTTAGAGGAGCATCCAGTCATCTCCCAGAACAGAAGAAGGGGGATGGTTTTCAAGCAGCAAGACGCAAGGTATTTCTCTTTCAGGAATACTGACAATTTTGAATCTAAATTAATATAATGAATGGAAAATTGCAATCCTGGAGCACAGCAAATTGTGTTCTTTAGGCACAGGTTTGTGGGCCACAGCTCCCCTTAAAATTCATTCTTCTGTATATGAATCTGTCAAAGTAGAGTTCAAGTTATCTAATGTGTTAGCTGAAAAACTATACTCTTAGCCCTGCATAAGCTTACTGATACATCTAAACTCGTCTTCACTGTCTTAAATAAACAGGTTTCTTCGTTGCTATTTCTCTATTTCTTTAGGTACTTCCGTTCATACTAGATTCTGAATTATCCCGAAGATTAGCTGTCGCTCCATTGCTCCATTTGGTGGATGTTTGTTTCACATGGATCATTTTCTGCCAGTGGTCAAGTTATAGCTAAAGAAGTAGCTGGACTGGCATTAATTCCTAGGAAAGAAGATTTTCTGCTGCTCTCCTAGCCTCTTCCTTTGACATTTTCTGCTCTTGCAGGTTAGTATAATGCAGGCTGGAGAGTGGCTTAGACAGGCATAACTCTCTAATGGCAAACACTGTAGTTTTTCTTCAAGTAGATTAAAGGATCTCCTTCATTGTAGGTTCTGAGGAGACTCAGTAGGCAAACACCTGCTGGGAAAAACAACAGTGATAGGTCATCCTGCCTTTGGGCAGGGAGTTGGACTGCAGTACCTCTGTCAGCCCTGTGACTCCCTTCTTGCTTTTGGAATAATGCAAAGGTTCATTACTGGCTAGAGGAAAATGAAGAGGATTGAAGATAGTCATTGTAGTCTCAGAATCAGGAGACTCTCCTTATTCCTTTCCAAGGGTAAGCCTCTTGACAGGACAGGTTAAATAACAGGAGGACTTTTTTTAAATGCTACAGAGAAGTAGTTGCTGAGATGTGTTGTGTGGAAAGATGTAAAAGTACAAAAGAAGTGGCAGATTTTGTTTCAGTTAATTGAACTATTCTGGAGAGAATGCAGGTTCCAAAGACAGCCCTTTTACTGGTGGTCACATTCTTGTCATGTTAAAGTTGTTTTCAGGTACAGATCACAGACTGAGATTCTTCCTACCCTGAATGTTTCCCACATTTAGATAAGACTGAAAATAGAATCACAGAATCTTTTAGGTTGGAAAAGACCTGTAAGTTCACCAAGTCCAACCGTTAGCCTAACACTGCCAAGTCCACCACTAACCATGTCCATAAGCACTGCATCCACATGTGTCCTAAATACCTCCAGGGA